ATCAGCAGGCCATTATCACGCATATACTGGATGCAATAATTGTCCCCTGCTGTATCAATTGCTACCCCATCATTCCAGCCTGTAGCGAAGACATGCCCTGCATTTTAGCAACATAAAAGCTTCCTCTCCAATTGCCCTAGAGAGCTGTGCAAAAAGAATAGGAAACAAACTTCTCTTGTATTTTGGCTCTGCCATTGATTTACTTTGTAGTGTTAGGTAAATTAAGTTCTTTGCCGTAAAAGTTCTTCATCTGAAACATGGGCATAATATCTATTTCTTAGGTGGTGTTTTGAGAATTAGGTAGTTGAAGTGCTTTGAGGGAAAGTACTTACTCCAATTACCAATGGTTATACAATTACTAGATACCTACCTTTTGGAAGATCCAATTTAGGGCTTAGAATCGGCCCGTCACTTCTGTGGCATCTTGCTAGTAACCTGCTCTCTTTGTTCTGCAGTGAGCTCTGACAGGGTCAGGAATATTGTTGATGGCAAGAATATTCAACCTCTCTCTATGCCAAGACTTTGATTGCTGCACTCCTGACAGGCTTTTCCAAACAGAACTGCACCCATGAGATCTGAAGCAAACACTGAAGTGATTGTCACACTGTGGCACCAGGCTTTCTATACATAAGCAATGTTGTGTTTACTGTTCCTCATGAACTTTATGTTCTTCCTCTTGCCTTGGTTTACACCACTGCTCCCATTTCATATCTGCCTGTTCAGTTTTAGTCTCTCCTTTTCTCCATCTAAGAGTCACTTCCTCCTCCATTTCCCTCACCTGACAGGGCCTCACTGTCACTCATCTGGGTAGTCTGAATGGATCCCAATCCCCCTCACCCAGACTGCTGTTCCTTCCTCATTTTAATTCCCTTCATGATTTCTTCCAGTTTCCTTCCCAACTTACTGCTTAAGTCTTCCCTCCACTGAATTCACTTCACTTACCCCCCTCCCAAACATGCTCCTGCTTGGAGGCAATTGTTTCAAATCTGAAAATAATCAGGGGAATTGACTGGATAATTAATCTCACTGCAAGAGCTCTAATCAAAAAGTTACAAGCAGGCTCAGTATAACACTAGAAGAGACAATTATAATCTGACCTGATGAGTAGCACAGATCATAGAACTTTAACCAGAAAACCCCAAATTAAGCATGAACCTTCTAGTTAAGGTAGAAACATCAAGAAATCCACCCACTCTTGATTTAAAGAAACATCAAATGGTGGTGAATCCATGCACCTACCGAGGCTGTTCACCGGATTTAATACTCGCTTAAAAAAGTGTGCGCGCGCACGCACTAGTTTCTAGTCTGAATGTGTCTGACTTCAGCTCCCAGCTATTGGATCCAGCTTTTGTTCATGCTCAAGTAAAAAGCCTTTTTGCTGTGGGAAATTCTCCATCTAGGTGCTTACAGACTGATCAACTCACCTCTTAACCTTCTCCCCATTAAAGTAAAGCTAAAGAGCAAGAAGAAATGAAGACCACTGCTGTAGTAGAGCTCGTGGACAGGAGTTAATCTAATGTGCTAATTTCAACATGGGGGGGGGGGAACAATTTCTAAAAAGCTTTTAGTTGCTCCACATAAAGGGAGACTATCTTGTAACAGTCCCTTGTGGTTGTCTAATGCTTAGAATGCCGTCACGTTGGAAAATGGTAGAAGATTTATTGTGAAAGTGGGCAACTTTTGGACTTTTAACCCCAGGAAGCAATTCAGCAATTCATGGATCCTTATTCCCTCCTGCAGCATATCAGCCATGTAATAGTGCTTGCATGCATTTTATGGCAACTAATCGAGGGGATACTGGGGGAGAAGGGGGTGAGTTTTAACTTACTGAAAATGCTTAGGGTGCTCCTCTCCTGAGACTGGCAATGCAATCAAGGAAAACTTAAGCAAATGCCAAGCTGCAAAGACAGTGGATTTACTTAGGCAGCAGCATGCTGAAGCCCTGGGGCCTGAAGCAAGGACTCCTATTAGCCTAACAGGGATCATCCCAGTTAAAAAGGTGATACAGGAAAAGGAATAGCCTGCCAAAGTTCTTTAGTCAGATTTATTTTGCCCTATCCTTAAAATTGACAGTCATCTGGGCTACAGGCAGTCCACCAATGCTCCAGGCAGGATAGTCAAATACCTCAGTGATGGAAATGAGTAGATTGAACAGGTAGAAGAAGATCACCCACCCACCCATTCCTTTGCACAGCTCTGCAACACTGTACAACGTGTTTGTTATTTGTAGTCTGGAACAGAAAGGTTAGCTTGCCGTAGTGCTGGGAACCAAAGCAGCACCAGCTGTCCTGTGGGAGGACATAGTACTTAAGAGCTGAAATACGAACTGCCACAGCAACTCCCACTGAAGTGAGCAAGTTGGCAGAAATCCCTAACCCAGTTGGTTCATTCACATTTTCATACAATGGCCCACTTTCTAACATGAGCACCTTGCAGAACAAGAGCTAAAGTTGGCGGCCGGTATTTCTCAGACAGGGTTTCTTCACTACATGCCCCCCCACGCTGAGGGGGTGGGGGAAACATGTATATTAGCAGCACAAACTTGTGTTTTTGTGTCGCTCTGAAAGACAGCAAGGTAATGAGTGCACTTCACATCTCTTCACAGTATACAGAGCTTTGGGGCATGTACAAGTTCCTGGAGCAGTTTTAGGCACACTTCAGAAAGCACCACCCCCTTGTGCTGCCATTATGGTAAAAATTCCTCCATGCGCCCCCTTGCACCAGCATTTCACTGTTCTGGAAATGTCATGAATTCCCACGGGTTGAGCTTCCACAAAGAGAGGCACTGTCCTAAGAACAGGCCATTCACAGCTTTGAAAACAAGGAGCCAGGCCAAGTTTAACAAGGATGGAGAGTAGCAGCGAGTATGAAGTTGTTCAGGTGCCCAGCAACACACACATCATGGACTGTCTTGAGGATCTGTCAATGTGTCTCCTGGAATCCATGGACCCAACTAGAAGAGCAAACCTTTGGAAGTGTTTCCCTCTGTCCACTTCTAGCCTGCTGGAGTTGAATTTCAGCTCTTCCTAATTATGTGATGATCTCAGCAAAATGTTAGATTAAGTAGTTATCAGCTATGAACAGACAATGGTCTGTGTCTATATATTGACATCTGAATTCTTAGAGTCAATCAACCACAAGGAATGACAAGCATTTTTAGAAGGTCTTTCCTCAACCCCACAATCCCTAGGCTGGCAAGTGCAGCATTATTCCATTATGAACTACTACAAGATGTACTGGGTGTTACTCGGTTCCTTAACTCAAAAAATGTTCTTCTTTTCAACCATTGCTGTGGGGCAGGGCTGGGGGTTCAGGGTTCAGTATGCAGGCTACTCCAGCTCACTCATCACAGCCAATTGGAGCCAGGTGAGAAGTGCCTCTCCATGGCCACTTCAACTCCAACAGGCACAGCCAGGGAAGGAGGGTGCTTGCCCCTGGCTAAGCCTGGTCCAGGTTTGTCTGTCCCTGGGCTCCCCAGCCAGAGTGAGGAATGCAGAAAACTGCACTTCCCCTCACTCTGATTAAGGGGAACAGCCAACAATGTCCCTCTACAAATGGGGGGGGAGGAATTCGGCCCCCTCCATCCCCAAAGGGCTGGGGAAGTCCCAAAGGGGAATCTCAAAAAAGTGATTAAGACAACTTGGGGGCTATGCCCCCTGCTCACTACACTCACCAACCCCCCTCTCTCTGCAGAGGTCGGCAACCTTTTCAAACCAAAGAGCCAAACTACATCAAAATTCAGAACAAGGTCAAACCGAGCCATATAACAGTGCCCATTTGCATGACTGAAGATCTACAACTTATGATTGATAATTGACATGATTAATCTCTCTACATAAAAAAGTGTCTTCTGGACAGAACACAACGACACCATGCCCTGCCCACACTCCACCCGTACAACGCCTGATGCAGGTGTCTGGGGGTGGAATATTGCTATCCTCAGGGCCCACTCACCCTGTGCTCTGGGAGCCAGGGGGTGAGAGCTGAATGGCCTCCTCTTTCTGCCAGTGAATGGAATAGAGATGGGGGTGCCAGGCCTGGGTGGGAGGTAAGGAGCAGGAGGAGGTAAGGGTGTCTGGCCAGGAGGTAGGGGGCAGGAGCAGGCTGGAGGTGCAGCATCTGGGCATGGAGGGGGTGGGGGGGCACACAACTGTTCTCACACTGCACCCCCACTGCCAGGCAACGAATGGAGCAGTGGTAGGGTTGCCAGATGATCGAAACAAAAATACCAACACCCCCCCCCCCAAAAAACCCACCAGGAAAAAATTCTGTTACGGGCGGGGGGGAAGGGGAGGAGAGGGGGACACGACACAAAGTTGTTGAGGGAAAAAAGCAAAAAAAAAAAAAAAAAAAAAAGGCTATCAATTTTAGAGTGAGAATGGAAAAACTGCCAATCATTCCATAGGACCTTTATTTCAAAAATTCTAGATGTTACTGAAATAATGACCCATTGCCAGCTGATAGCATTTTAGATGTCTGTAAAACATGAAGTTGTTTCTCAGAAAAATAGCCATGGGATGTATGCAATGTCAATGAGAAAACCCAAGTTTCCTAAAGCAACTTATTTCTTCTACTATGAGTCTCCCAGGGTCACTCCTAGTATCAACTTGGCTTGTTAGACAGAATCTAGTTGTCTTCAAGATAACTAGTTTTTTTTCCTTTATTTGCAGAGCAATCAACAATTACCATATCAAAACATAGCCAAGAACAAGACATTGATTTTGAATGGTTTATTTTGGGAACTACCATTCCATATTTCTCTAATGTCAGCCACTGGTCACAGCATAAGTTGAATCAGGAAGCCATTTCTACTTAGTTGCTTTTAAGTCAATTCATAGAATATCACTGTGGATCAAATGTCAAGCTCCTGTCAGGCTGAACATATGTAAGGACAATACAGGCAAACTTATTATCTCCCCTTTCAGTTATTGTTAACCCTTCTTCCCAACAAGAGCGTCAGTTGTTAAAAGAAACAAAGGTGCAATGTGCTCACCTCTTGGTAATGGTTAGATCATCTTTAATTCTAGCACCTGAAGTTGTACAAAGGTATGCTTAATAACCACACTTCATAGAACTGTTGGACACATTCAATTAAGGTGACAACTGTGCAATACCACTGCGTATTTCAGAATTAGGGAACATACTCTTGAATTGTTTAAACACAATCCACAGAACTCAAAATTTTCAAAAGCCACCCACAGTTAAACTAAACAGTCATTTAAAAGCCTTACAGTTTAATATAGTTCACATAATAGTCAGTCTTTCATAAGGGACACTGAACATTACTTGAAAGCATGCCAAACGTTACTCTCTAGAGGTAAGTTGGGCAGGCACATGATTGGCCATTGCTGGGTATAACCAGGACAATAAGGAGAAGTTCCACTACAGTTCAGCATATCCTGTATTATTTTGTCAGTTAAATGTGAACCGTGAGAATTAAATATTCATCTTTACATATACACAAGTTATGCTGTGAAAGCATATTTGCTTACAAACATATAAAAATACTTGTTAACTAGTTTGATAAGAAAATAATGTATAAAAGTATATAGCAAAAACATTTAATCATCTCTGACATTGGAAAGATCAAATCCATCTTTTTATATTACATGAAACAAAAACAGCTACATTTTAGTTTTCTTGAATCCCTTACCCAGAAATACGTCAAAGGAAGACACATTAATTTTTTTCCCTAACAATGATGTGAAATTTTGTAAAAGTGAAATGGCTAGTCCAGAATGAGCCCAGGTATTTGGCCACATTATAATAGCAGTAATAATAATCATCCTGTAGCTCTTCTGGATACATAAAATAAATACAAGAAGTAGACTTTTGGCCACTGGAAAAGAAGCTGCAGCATAAACAAAAGCTGAAACATTTTTTGCTGACAATGAAATTCAGTGTTGGTTTCTTAAGGCTAGCTGAACTCTGAAATCTAATTTAGCTGAAGGGCAGAAAGCCAATACTATTATTAAATACACTTTGATTAAAGGTCTCCCTCGTAATAGTAGCTAATGAAATGTCAGAAGTGAAAATAAATTAAAGTAAGACAACTTTTATGCTTCATTTGAACACCTTGTCCTCTAAGGTTGTTTCATCTCCTTTATGAATAAAATTCCACAAGGTTCGAGCTCTTAAAGGGAGAAAAATAGGAACTGTGATTTTAAAGAAGCAGCCTTAGTGTTTTGCTTTGAAGTTTGCCCTGAGATGACTGAGTGGTCTTCTAGGACTATATTCAGCCAGCTTCTTAGACTAAGGCTATTTTGGTGACCATTTATAGGACATGGCACAAAAGGCTAGACATACCCAAAGTGATGCAAAATGGTGGAAAGAAAAATTAATCTGGCAGTTGATAGCTTGATTCATGGGATTCTTAGACAATGACACAATGACAGCCTTTCTTGTCTTTTTCTTTCCGTGTTGGTTCTGGTGAAGGAGGGCACTCTTGTTCTTGAAATTTTCTTTAAAAAAAAATGTAAAAAAGAAAGTTCAGGTCATCTATAAGTTTAACTCAAATCCTCCATTTTAGAAACTGTATTTATGATACTCTTGCTCTAGCAAAACTGGTCTCAACTACCATTACCTGGGTCAACTAGACACGTTCCATGATTTTTATTTGTATTGAAGCAGCACCTAGAGACTGTGAGCTAGCTACCTTACAAACATAAAGAGTCCCTGTCCAGACATACCACAAACACTACTGGTGAATACTTAATAGGCATACATCAGTTCATGTCAGACCTAGCAAGTTTTCCAGGTAACAGACTGCTACCCTCATGGGCTTGCACAAAGGTAAAAAAGGTATTGTGCCTGTAACCAAATACTGGACAATGGGCCTGTATCTGTACCTCAATGATAATAGCTTACATAACCTTAAGTAGCCATTTTTTAGAATAAATCTAAGATGTTGTGTGTGTCAATATTATTGCTTATAACCCCTGGGAAGAATAGGATTTAGGGAATCTCAGTATCAATGGTTAATTAACCATCATCATTCCTGCCTGGTTCTAGAAACTACATCAAGTATTTGAATCAAAACACCTGGGCTTCCCCTTAACTAAAAAGGAAATTCCATGAGACAGTAGTTGTTCTGATGCAATTTAAATGAATGAATACAGGCAACAAGTAGAGTTCCAAGATACTACTCTGAAGTTACTCAGCATCCAAGTGAGAGCATAACTCATCCTCTTTGGAGAATGAAAGACATGTTTGTTTTCGAGTACCATTTAAATTAAAAATCAAGTCTGAATTATAGTTCTGAATAAAAGTCAAATCCATGAGGTAGAGGATGAAAGAAAGCTCTGTCTTACTCCTCTGCCTCTAGCCAAAAAAAGCATAATCTTTGCCAACTCTTGAAAATATAGTTGTCATCTCTGGCCCTATGACCACACTATAGACCAGATTACAAACACAAAAAACAGTGTTTATGCTACCTGGATAACCAATGATCAATAAACAAGGAAGAGTATGTCTGCAGGAAAAGAAGATTTGAAAATCTACAAAGTGGAAGCAAAAGTGTGCTCAAAGCACCTCATTTTGGTCTAACAGACTCTGTTCAAGGCTTATCTAATTTGACTATCCTTTCAGCCTTCTGACTGGGAGAAAAAGGAAAATATTTTACATGCATTTACTTCCAGGAGGCATTGAGTTTTGTCATTGATTAAACAGTATTTTTGGTACACGAGATTGGAACTTGGATAAATGTACACCCAATTTCTGGGAAGTATCTTTTTGGCTTTCTTGTGGGTTAAAGAGGGCCTAACATTATGGGATTCACCTGCCAGACAGGAGCAGCAAATGGGAGTTTTACACAATGCAGTTTTCATTGTGACAGAGGACCAATTCTTGGTCCGTCTAGTTTGTTTTCTGCTTGCCTGCTGTGCCTGTAGTGTTTTGGGGGCTGTGCGCTAAACCAAGCAGCCTGCTAGCCTAGGCTGAGAGCTTAGTAACAAGGTTCTAGCCTGCTTTCTTTTGATTGATCTACATAAGGTCCCTTAAGGGGGATAATAAAAGGAGTATCATGCCTTTTACACCAAGCCAGTATTCAACTGCTGAATGCCAGCTATATTCACTGAAGCTTCAGCAGATTTCATGGACTATGTTCAATACCTAGGCACCAGAAATCTTGAAGGTTTAAGGGAAAAGATTCTATCAAATCCCCATGGCTGAAACAGATGCAAATATTCACATCTAACACACACATTTGCCACATGGTCAGCAGACAGTCAGTTAACATTTGAGGTAGAGATGTGCAAACAGAATTTGCCCTGGTTATCCCGCATTGCATTCTCTCTCCAAGACAACACTTTGTTATTAAAGTTCACGCATTCTTTATGTTCCCTCAGAGCACAAGTGACGTACCTTATAACTCTGACAAGTTCATGAAAGGCTTGGTCTACATTCAATCGCATTTTTGCTGAGGCTTCCATATATTTTACTTTAAGCTGTCGTGCTAGCTGCTGGCCTTCCTCTTGTGTTACCTGAAACACAAAGCAGTTATTAAAAATAAGCTCCAAGTAGTCCATTGACATATCCTGATTTGTGTACACATTACATGGTGAACACTGTTTCATATGAAAACAGTAAGTAGCTGTTTCCCTAAATTTGCATTTGAATTACCTTAATTGGTAGGTAACCAACTACTGAATCCTTCAGGAATAAAATTCAAAAAGTGTTGAGTACAAGTTCAAGCATGGTATTTAAAAAGTAAAGCTATCCACCAAAATCACAATTGTAAATTTAAAATATAAAAGTTACAATTTTTAGTGTGAAGAGCATAAAAACCAAAGCTCTGTCCATAGATAGTCTTTAAACAATTTCCACGCTTTCCATTTTATTAAATACTTTTCAAATTCTGTGCAACAGCATGTATGACCAGGTATTCCTCCTTAAATAGGAAAGCCTGAGTACACAAACCCTACTCAAATACTAATTACAATCATCTAGATAACCCAGCAGTATCTACTGTGCTGTCAATCCTGTTAAAACCTATTTTTAACCAGCCCAACCACACATGAACAGTACACAGCATCACTTAGGTTTTGCAATAATAAAGCAAAGTAATGACGTTTTCTATGAATCAAAACTATCAAGACTCAAACGTCAAATAGCTGCTGCTAGATAAGAACTAAGTGTGCACGATATTAATGCACAGCTGTTTCAAAACATACCTCTCATTTCTTCGAATTTCAGTTAAGTACACAGGTTACAGAAATGTCCATAAGAAAATTGAGCAGCTTTGCCTTGATAGGATACGTTTCAGTGAAAAAAAATATTCTAATGGCAATACACTATGCAGCCCAAAATGTTCATCTGTGACAAGCAGATCCCGAATAGTAAGCTGGGTGACATGTCTTCTATGTTGGAAACATCCAATGCTAAACAAGCTGCCACCCACCACAGAATCACAATTAATACACAAGATCGTTTTCAAAGGCACACATAAGAACAGAGGAGATGACAAAGTCAGTGGGAGCTATGATGGAGCATTGCTTCATATCACTATGATGCTGCTTCATTTCAATTCTTTCCCTCATAGAACTGCTTAAATAGGGAAAGCATCTTTTGTGGACAGCCAATTTTT